TTCAGTGCACCCATCAGAATACACTTAATTTATCCATAAGAACTAGATAAATATGCAGTGTGTAACCCCCCACCCCAATGATGGAAGCAAAAAGTCCATTTTAAACATAAAGCATCAACTGGTAGCATTAAGTAGATTTAATAACTTACGTGTAGGGTAAGTGTGGGTATACCCGATCAGGGGGAGAACCTGATCAGCCGTGATTTTTTTCGTATAGTAGGGCCTACAGAGTGTGACGTGAATGAAATGAATAGAGTGTAGGCCCTACTATATGAAAAAAATCACGACTGATCGGGTTCTCCCCCCGATCGGGAAGACCCACACTTACCCTACATGATTTTAAAGAGAGCCTTCTTAGCTTGATGATGCTTTTAATGTCATCCTACATGTATGTACAGTACATGTATTTGCTTTTGGCAACCCAGAAATCTGCCCTGGTAAACACAAGCACTCAAAATTAAAGCTTGTGTAACTTTCTAGCCTGATCACTCTACAAAATGCACATTTCATCATTTTTCAACATGCTGAAGATACAGGCTTACCTGCATATTACAAGTATGTGAAGTTCCAGCCATTTTTTTGATCACAAGTGTATTTTTTATCGTCATACACTGACGGAACAGAAGTCTTGCCCAGAGATAAATATATGATTTTTTACAAACTTACAAACAATACAAGCAATGATTTCAGGTTAATGTATGGGCAGAAACATTGACACGTACATGTACATAAAATGTCCATGCCTCTTTGCAGTACCTGTGCATTTTTTAAGATACTTCTTGCCGTGCTGTTTGTCATACAGCAGCAATATCATTGTACACATAGTTTCATAGAATACAGTTCATTAAAGACCTCCCCTACCAAGACATTAATCTGAAACCATGCAGTAGATTGGTTGATGAATTCTTATTGCCAGGTGGGTACACCTCCAGAATGCTTTAATCAATTCCTTCTTAGTAGGGGAGCAGAGAAGAGAAAAACCCAGTGCATACTAACATCGCAACAGAAGAACATCACTGGCATCTACATGCAATTTGCTCTCATCAATATTGGAGGGACCTCATTTCAGCTCAGAAAAGATAATTACTTGTTGTCACGGCAACCGTATCCTCATCCACAACGATCATTAACTTGGCTTCTTATTATTAGCTGAGACCTCATTTCGGGCGGACTTGGTTTCCCCTACAGGGATAAGGGGTAGGGGTATGACCTCCTCAAACCTAATTTGGCTGTATCTCTTCACATTGGAACGGAAATGGTGTTGTGCTCATTTGGTCTCTGCCTACTCTAATTGGTACTGTGCATGTGTGCATGACTATATAAACATTTGTGATTTGAAGTGAATGTACAGTACTTCACCATCTGATGCTGAACGAATCCATAGATTATCTGATCTGTGCATCTTGAAGGAAAAATCAGGTTTTTTTCCACTCCTGAGCAACTCGGATCATTATTTCCTCAGTAGTGCTTGTGCTCATCCTACTGCATGCGCATTTTCACAATGGAACTGTTTACCAGCCTCACTCTATGCAATGTACATGTCGTCAGTTGTTTAAAGTCAGTGAAGTGATTTAATTTCCTTCATGCATAATACTGTGTACAGCAAGATACGTACACATGTGTTGAAGCCGTGGAGATCTAATGATTTATGTTCCCTTTGTCTCTGCCAATATGATGCTTACTACATGTACATGTGGGTTTTTACACTACTGATCTGCAGTTATTCTGCGCTACATGGATACATTATTTTTAACAGCATCAGATACCTAATATCTTAAAAGATTATCACGAATTTGTCCCCCTCTTCTGAATTCTTGTCTTGATAGATACAGCTTTATCAAATTAAAGAGAACAGAGAAATCCAAATGCTCCTTACATTTTGTCTGGCCATGTATTTGTTGTGTGAAAGAGGAGTGCTGATTTTGAGTGTGTTATACCATATAGCTACTATACACAAGGAGTAAGCACATACAGAGGTCAAAAGGGTCAATGATGGCCACCGCCAGCACTGCACGTGCTGCAAGGACAAAACAAATTACGTGACACTTGCGGGCTATAAGGAATGCTTAGAGTTGCATTTGCAAAGGATTGTGGGTACCGCGCTTGCGTGTCCAAAACACTTCCACACATTCTACATGGCTGCCATGAGATGAAAGCCACTATCATCTGAGACGTAAATTTTGATAATTTTAGTGATCTGATATTCCAATGATAATGAAAGTCTGGTTGCTTCTTTACATCCCCAAAACGTCTGATTAAAAAGAAACAGAATTGCTAACTAACACAAATTCTCCAAAAAAAAGCGACAAGAAAACTGAAAGAATGTAGCAGGTCCAGAGGAAAATAACAAAACACGCAAAAACATGGGAAGATTCATTGCCCTTCCTGTCATTGGCCACAAATGGCCAGGCATGAATCCTTGCCACGTTGTCAAATGCATTCCTGCAGCATGTTTCCACCCTCTTTTAACCTAGGAACCACAAGGATTGCGACTTATGACATAAATATCGCAGTTCCCTCCGGGACCGCAAAATGTCATAACTGACTTTAAAAACGTCTGACTTTCTTCAAATAACCACTGCTGATGTGGAATTTTCGAGCGCATCTGTGGAGATCACTCACTTACTCCTGAGGACTACTGAAGAGAAATGCACATCTTCTTCGTGCATCTTTTCCACCATTTATATGTATTTACTCCAGTATGCCGCAGCGAAACACAGTGAGTCTGTGGGTTACCAGCCACCCGGCGGTGGCGATCACTGTGTACAAAGAATGTCTAGGTTATTCAACACTAGGTCCGGTAACCGCGCTTTGTCTATGAAGCCGACCGGAGTGGTTAATTGGATTACGGTTTGTAGGGACTTCGTTCTAACTCCTTGTGTTTAATAGCTCCACGGTTATACATGTACATGTATTTCTCCGTTTGTAACTGCGGTGTGTACATGTACTAAAACCTTGAATTCAGTACGTGGGAGAATTTCCACTTGAGTCACTGCCTCCAACACTACGCTGTGAACCTCAAGTAATTTTAACTGCCATTAGCTTATTTAAATCTGGTTCATTGGTTGCATTATATCTCTGCTGGAAGAGATGCTGTGATCTGATGCATACACACGTGTACATGTGCTTGCTAGTTTTGAGGCTGAACGACTCCCTGTAATTGGCTTACCAACAGAAAAAGTTGTCATTCCCAAAAACAAGTTGGCCTCATATGTCAGGCTGCAGAAGTCACAGAGGAATGACTACATCTGTTTGGCTAGTAAATTGAATTTACAGGATTATGCTGTGCTTAACCTTCAGCATTCTGCATAATTGCTGTAAATTGTTGTTTGCCTCGACATACAAGTAAGGTGCTATACCTGTACAGTACGTGTCAGTAAAAATAAAACCAGAGCTACGTGTACATGTACATTGAACATATTTATAGATATCACCCTTTGTGTGTATACTAAATTAATTTAAGTTTAAGAGGAATATGCCAAACAAGAAAAACAACCACCTTAATTGGCTCCGAGTCCTAAAATTATTCTTCAAACTACTCTTCAGCTAAAGATATGAGGTCCTAAGAAATTCACCAGCTAAGTTTGAGATCTACTAGTACATGTACTTGGAAGTTCATTTTGTAAATTGAGATCTTTCTCTTCATTCAGTTCCGCCAGAAGGATAAGTCAAGAGAAATGAAATGCTAGACATAATTTTAGACTGGTATCTATTTGTATTGGTTGTTTGAAACATGGCATTAAAAATCCCAAACTCCTGGATGATTGAGCATTGTGCGTAATGTTTGCATGATGCTTGAGAATTGAATGAAGAAGCTGAAAGCATTCAACAGAATTTCATACATCAGTTGCTTTGGGCATGTGGTAAATACAGGATTTAAAAGTAGAAATGCTTAGTTACACTTATTTTAAAATTCCAAAGAATAGTGCAAAGTGAATAGCTGAGACAATAGAAAAACCTAAGATGCTGTACATGTACGTAACATGCCCCTCTACGAGAAGTATCGCTATTTGAAACCAATTGGTATGATGGTAAATGTGTTGGTATACATGTACATGTACACAGCAGGCCTTCACTGTGTTAAGGAGATAATTTCTTTTGTTAGGCAAATTGGGACATGTACAAAACAAGTATCCGTCTAGTATGACAGGCATTGAACTACACAGGTAAAATTTCACTGATATGTAAATAAGGTCAAAAGTGAAGCTCCATAGGTCCTTGCTCTGTAAAAGGTGTTTGTGCTAAGCTGTTTTCCTGCCTTGATCCAACTCACAAGAAAAGACTTTGTTCTTTAGGCATTTACTGCAGTTTTCACTGACATGTCTTTGCTGTTTTTCATGTGCTTGTCTATGTACATAAACAATCCATGGCCTAAGTCTGGATCTGTATACATATATGGTCAGAATCACTGAATGAGACTGGTCATCCCATTCTTAGAGCTGTGCCAAATATCCGAATAACCGAATATTTGACCGATTGTCAAATATTTGAATATTGTTTTGCAAATTTGAATATTCAAATCCAAAATTCATAAATAGGAAGGGAAAATTTTCTTTTGTTTTAAATGAGAAAAATTGCACTATGAAGGCTTGTAACAGCAGATTCAAATGAAAAGCATCAGAAATCTTACAACGATTTAAAAAGTAAATTACTCATTAAACAAAAAAGGAATAGAAATTTTCAACAGGGCAAGAAGTCTTGTTCATCTCTTAAACCTTGCTTAATGGTGGCTGGAGATACTCCTAGATGTGAGAAGCTATTATATTGATCATACTGTACAATTATGTGTTATTGCAACTGATTTTATATATGGTTTGTTCATCAACAATCTGCCAGTCGGTACAACCGAATATTAGGATATTCGATCGAATTGCAGGTCGAATATTTGAATAGTAAATTATTCGAATTGACTCAGCCCTACCCATTCCGAAGTCTGTGGTGGAAACTTATGACCTCAACAGACCAGTATATCAAACAAGGCAGATGAAAATGCTGCTCCAGCGATGAATTCATACATGTACAGTATGTGCATTCCGAGCAAAGGAAAATGTTCTAGAATTTAGAAACTAAATTTTTTGCAGTAGCTTAAAGAGTTTTTGGAGCAGTATTCTGATAAAAAAGTCTCTTTGAATGGGTTGTTACACTATCAACAGTTTTTTCCACAAATAGCAATAAGAGAGTTGTATCTAAAGAAAGCCTGTAGTACAAAAATGTTAATAAATTCTTACTCATTCCTCTTAGGTTATCTGGTTCCCCTCCAAAAAAAATCATAGTTGTGTAAATCTGATACATGAAATGGCACAAACAATCAAGTTTCATCTAAGATTAAAATATCTGCCTATTAGCTCTCGGCAAAGTTTGAAAACCTGCCTCTCCACTCCCAACAGAATTTCGAAACTGATTTGGTGCTGTCTGAGCCTATACTTCCATTATGTCCAGTATTTTGAAGGAAATTGAAAGAATCATTCACCAGTGCTGTATTTTTGTTTAAATAAATAAATAAATATTTAAGAATATACATGTATAGATATTCTACAAGCAAACTGCCTATCCAAAATTGCTTTTGCCTGTCCTCAGGGCTTGTTGAGACACTGCAAACTAATACTGTGCAAATGCATCCTAAAATCAAAACTGACCTGTCTCCAGACCAACTTGGGGTCAGGTTGGTTTTAGTTTTGAATTTATGACTTATGGGAAGATTCAATTTGGTTAAGCCATCTTGGTAAAACCCAAAATAACCCCTCCCCCTGAAAAAATGAAACATTTCGAACATGCACATGATGCATTATTACGGCAGATTCACAGTTTCCAGTATGACCAAGAGGTGACTTTTTTCCAGTATGACCAAGAGATGACTATTTTCCAGTATGACCAAGAGGTGACTTTTTCCA